TCATTTACAGGCTTCCTGCTCGGCCAGACTCTCGGGCCGTTGTTCTTCCCACAGTGGATGCCTGCTTGTCACTTTGTTGAGAACTCCTGGAACCGAGAAGAGCGTCACAGGCCCTGTTCACTCACGCCAAGGCTTGCTGCCCCTTCGCCCGGGCCCTGTGCCCACTGCCCTGTGCGTGCACTGCTCCATTCGAAACTTCTCCCTTGCCCAGGAGAGTCTCCAGGAGCAGGCATCCTTCAGGGCGGCTCGCCCCTCCACCCTGCCCTCCCTGTCACCTGGTCTCACAGAGCTCACCTCCCGCTCTCAGCAGGTGCCCTTATGCCCCTCGGGGTAGAATTGAGCACGGTCTGATCCCTGCTCTCAGGGTAGACCCGGGGCTCTGGAGAGGGAGCCTCAGAGTGGTTCAGATGCAGTCGGGGTGCTGCTGGGTGAGCTGGGAGGCACAGGGCAGGATCCCTTCGTGAGTGTGTGACTTGGGGCACCTCCGAGTCATTGTACTGCTTTAATTTTAGCCATAACATTTCTGAAAGTTTTGAAACGTTTTGCTATCTTAAGATGAAAGCAAGAGGTAGATATTCAACCCAATGGGTAGCAGATTTTTCTTGCGTTTGTTATTTAACGAGAGAGATTGCCACAGATGGAACCACATATATGAGCCACCTCCTGGACCCAGGAAATAGATTTCAGAAAAGGGAAGAAACCTTGTTTGGGGCCATAGAGTCCTGACTAAGGTGTGTGCTTTACCTGCATTCCACATTTCTGGTAAAGCCCTGGAGCCCCCCTTAGCTCCCCAGTTCCCCAAATTGGCGCCATTTGGGAGACAGCCCCCTTCTCCCAAATAAGCCTTATTACATTGTCATCAAAGAAAGGCAGAGCTTTTGGTTTGTTCAGAACCTAATTATTTTTCAGGAGAATGTGAAAGCCGGTTGTGGACATTTTCAGAAGCTAATGATGGCTTGGCACACCACGTGGAGGATCATGCCTCCTTGGGCTTTCTTAACTTGGGGATCAGGTATGGAAAGTTTTGGGTAAATCTAGTTTCCTGTGGCTCGCATGGTGACAGCTGTCAGCAGTGGAACTGCTGTTTATGTGTTGAGGCTGAGTGTCCCCAGACTGGACAGGACCCTCCTAATGCTCAGGAGCTGGGCCACCCTTTGGGTGTCTGGGGGACCCTGTGATGGGGCAGTAATCCTAAACTGTTCTGCTGTGATTACTGCCCTGTCATAGCATCCCCTGGAGCCAAGAGGGTGGCCGGGGCCTGTGCAAGGCCCTGGCTGTTGTCAGGCTCTGTTGCTCAGAGCCTGAGAAGACCCTGAACCCTGGTGTCCTTCCCCAGACCTGTAAGACGTACCTGGAAATGTTTCATTTCATCAAAAAGTAAGAGCTGCCTTATTGATGGAGATGATGATGACTTTTTTAAAAAAATTACAAGTTCTCGGGAATTTTGATCAATCTCTGAGAATGAATTTTAAGCAGAAAGCTTGCGGTTTGCCACTGGGTGGTTTTCAAGCCTGTATGTGCACATGAAAACCTTCCCCATGGTTCTGGGAAGATGCCCTGAGGACCTGCCCCTCCTGCTCACAGTTCAGGCTGTGTGCCTGGAGCCTCCTGCCCCAGCAGCAGGTTCAGTCTGAGTTCCCCATCCCCACCCCCACCCACTATTAGTGGTGAAATTTAGTGAGACCAGCTTTGCATCTTAGAAGGCAAATAGAAAATACCAATTTCTGTTCCATGGAGTAAATGACTTTAACGACGCACGTTTCTTCTGGGTTTGGGGAGTGTGCGAATGAATGTTCGTGTTGTGAATTGCCACTGAAAGTATATTTCTTTTCTTTCTTTTTTTGACTTTTTGGGTCATACCCGGCAACGCACAGGGTTACTCCTGGCTCTGCACTCAGGAATTACTCCTGGCGGTGCCCAGAGGACCATATGGGATGCTGGGAATTGAACCCAGGTCAGCCGCATGCAAGGCAAATGCCCCACCTGCTGTGCTATCGCTCCAGTCCCTGAAAGTGTATTTCTGATACGACTGTGGTCAGCTTTGGGTCATGAAACTCCTTTGCAAGACTTGGACTTTCTTCAGACAGTGACCATGTTTTATTCAGCTATCAATCACAGTCTCTGCGGCAGTAAAGATGTTCAATAAATATTTCATTGAACAAGAGAAAGTGAGTCAAGCCGTGGGATGCGTTAGGCCTGGGAAGCCTGTGATTTGCTCACAGAGCGGAAGCGGGAGAGCCCAGCCCTTGTGGCTGAGTCCTGGGGAACACTTCCACTCTCTCAGCTCTTAGTTGGTTGTTTGGTTGGCTTTTTCAGACAGAAACAGTCGCCCGGCGTTTGTTGTCACCTGGCAATAACAGTGATCAAACACTATGAACAAACACCTCAGAGGCACTCCTATAGAAACACCCAGGAGACAGACAGCAGTGCCTTACCCGCGGCCTTGTGCCTCGCTACCACCCGGAGACGCCCCGGGCCAGAGTGACAGTATTAGTCTTCTCTGGCCCCAGCCGGCCCAGTCGGCTCCTTGACATTGTTTCTGAGTGGTCTCTCCGGCCCCGTGTCACCGAGGCCCACACACCCACCCAGACCCATGTTGCAGCCCTCTCCCTGTGTCTCCCCGCACTCAGCCATGCTTGGAGCCGGGAGCGGAATGTGAGGTTGCTGGGCGCACCCTGGCCTTGTGCACTAACGGGCCCTGCCATTTCAGGCCTGTGGGGAGTTCACAGGGATGGCACAGACCCGCTTGCCAGCATGGAGGCCGCTTCCCGAGTCCTGAGCTCCGTTCTGCTCCAGCCCTGTCGTCCACGTTCTGGTTTCCTCCTGTTTTGGTTACTTGTGAATCGACAAACATTGGAAGTGAGGTCTGTCCTGGGGCCTGGTTTTGCTCAGGCTCCCTGAGAACTGGGGCCTGTGCTCCCCACCACAGGACCTGGCAGCGGACCGAGGTCCTGAGGACTCCCGCTGCGGGGCAGCCCAGCCTCTTCAGGAGAGCTTTCCAGGATGGCAGCTGGGTTAGACCAGGCAGCAGTTTCCTGAAAGGGGGATGAAGGCACTCCCGAGCGAGCGTGTGACTGTAGAGCAGAGGGACCGAGCTCTTCCCCGTGGCCCTGCCTCCCCTGGGCTGCCCCCTAGGCCCACGGGAATGGGGCCATCCTTCCCGCCCAGCTCATTGCCCTGCCTGGCTGCGTGCAGATCTGGTGGCCCCATCCCGCTCCCTTGCCACCGTGCCACCAATGGGAGAGTTAGGGCGGTCTCTGTCGTGAGGAGAGGCCCCCACTTCCTCTGCGATTGGCTGTCCAGGATGCTAAACTAGAAGTGCTCTGCATCTGGGGGTGAGGTCTGCGCCCTCCCAGCCATGCCTCTGGCCAGGGCTGACTTTCCCCCAGGAGATGGTGATGTGGCCGCCTCTCGTGGGCGCCCTGTTTTCTGCCCCCGTTGTCCCAGCGCCATGGCTGTGTCTCCACAGGGGTGGTGATCCCGGTGCAGAGCTGGGGTCTCTGAGCTAACCTGGGAGTGGCACGGAGGGCAGCAGCCCCCTGCTGCATCCTGCCCGGCACCTCTGGGGTGAGCGTCCTCAAGGAGCGTGTGGTCCGAGGGAGAGAGCCTCTCTCCCCTTGGGCAGCCTTGTGTCCACTGTACACGCTCGGGGGCTTGCTGGCAGCATCCTATTTGCCGGTAACTGGGAAATGGGGCCCAGTGACAGGTGGCCTGTCGTCGGCGTTTCTCCGGCATTCCTCCCTGTCCGTAACAGAGGAACTGCAGAAGTGCCTGCCGACACAGACAGATAGATAGATAGATAGATAGGTGAGCGGGCCAGGGATGTGCTGTGCTCCCATCTGGGTATGGAGCCTGGCCTGTGAGGCTTCTGGCTGTGCGCACAGAGAGATGGGTCTACTTGAAATGGTTTTGCAAAAACAGTCCATCGTTGCCCTTCTCAGAAGTGGGCCCCTTTCGCTCTGAGTACAGCCCAGGTGCAGAGCTGGAGGCGCCTGGGGCAAGTACCATCAGGGGTGGTGGCCGTCCTTACTTAATCTGTGAGTTCTCAATGGTCACCTTGTCTCTCATCTTCTGTCTGCTCTCTGCTGTATCTGTCCACATTTAAGCGCATCAATGCCCTCTTAAATCGGATGAGCACCCCCCACAGCCCCATGACGTGTCAGAGACTTACATTCTGGGGGCCTCAGGGTTGGGACCGAGGGAGAGGAGGATGCAGTCTTGCCCCGACTGCGTGGCCCAACTGGGGGCCCTTTTCCCTGAAGCACACACAAGCACTGTGACTGGATCCCCACAACCGGAAGGCTCCTCCTCTTCTCCCAGTGTGGCTCTAGATTATTGGGTAGAAGTGTATCATTTTACACACAGGAAAATGCCACATGGACATGCAGTGAAAGGGGAGACCTACAGATGGCAGCTCTGCCTCCTGTTTGCTAAGAATCATGCCCCCTTGTCTTGTATCATAGAACTTCCATATACTAATTAGATGGCAAGGACAGGTGAAATGGTATTGAAATGAGTCATTGCCTCTTTTTAGCACAAGGAAACTGTATTTAAAGTCAGAATATACTGCAGTATTTCCCACCCATGAATCAGCTGATAGAAAATTAACAGCACAGTTTGAAGAGTAAAGTCAGCAAAAGTCAGTAAAGTCAGTTAAACAGTGACTCGAAAGTTTTTCTATAATGCCTGAAAGTCGGAGGAAATATCCCGATCCATATCAGCTGTTTTGAACCTCTGGTTTTTGAGAGAAACTTCGAGAGAGGATAAGCCGGCCACTGGAAAAAGACCTTCAGACTGGCACCTTTTTTTTTTTTTAAGTGGGTGGTTTGTTTTTAATCAGTGTAGACTCAGACCTTCTCACGTAGGTTTCATAGCTATCCTACAGCCCATAGCTAAGTTATGAGAAATGGATTTCGCACGAAGTTTAGAAATTCCTTGGTTATGTGAGTTTTTGGGTCTGTGCTTATTTAAAGACTGTTTGTTTACGTTGTACCCTCCAGCTCATGATCTTCGGGTTCTTTCTGTGCCTGGACGCGTTCCTGTACGTGCTCACCTTGCTTCCTCTGAGAGTCTTCCTGGCACTGTTTCGCCTCTTCACTCTCCCCTGCTACGGCTTAAGGTAAGTTCAAGGTAGACCATGAACCCTTCACCATCATTCCCAACTGAGTGATCAGGTAGGTTTGGCAGAATAGGGCTGATTCATTCATGCTTTCCGTTAGCCTTTGACCCTCAGTGCATTAACTCAAATGGTTTATCCTTCCAGCACTATTGCACAGGCTTCCTTGAAAGCAGGAACCTCGGGAACATATCATTAGCTGAAGGGGCCGAAAGCAGTCATCATCTATCATGTATTTGCACGGAGGAGTGTTTAGCATTCCAACCCCTCAGATCACCTGCCACATCATAGCAAACACACCGTGAGATCCGAAGTAACTCGGTAGTGCAGCCGGGGATGGCACACGTAGTCAGTGTCAGGCAGTTCTCGGGGAAGGTCGCACGTGCTGTTGTTTCTAGAGTGGCTCTTGCTGCCGGAGGCTAACCACAGTGTTTGCTTTAGTTGTGGAAGCTAAAAATCTTCCCTGAATTTCCTTTTTCAGTTAGTGGAAGTAGGGACTGTGTCAGTCTTCTGAAAAAGAAAAGTGTCACGACACTGGAGCTGAGCAGGGCAGAGCTGTCTGCTTCGTTTGTGGGACCTTGGTGCTTTCTTTCCCCGCGTGGCTGGGAGCCGCTTTGGCCCATGACCCAGGGCCCCCTTCCTCTGACTGTGCCGGCTCATTCTGGCCCTCGACTTTCTCCCAGCCCCTTTGCCGCCGCCGCCGCCTGGCGTCATCTGGATGTGAGAGCTGGGAGTGGGCTTAGGCTGGGAGAGGGGGCAGTGCTGTCAGAGTCTCCTGAGGAGCCCGGGCTTTGTCAGCCCTCCGGTCCGAGGAGTATGTTGGTGTCCCTGGGGCCTTGGTTTCGGTGAGATCCCTCTGATTCGTGGACTGGGGCAGAGCGTGAAGAGGCTTGCTCCTGGGGAAAGGATCCGAGCGCCCGCCCACCCCACCGCATCTCCGCAGGGAGCTGCCTGCCCGATTCCCCGCTAGCGCACAGGGAGGTTCTCCAGAGTCCTGCATCTTGGCAGTGAGGGTTGGGAGACGTAGGAGGAGTTCACACGGCAGAGCCGCATTCCCTGCCCAGTGAGGATCAGAGAAGAGACAGAACCAAGGGAGCAAAAGCCTGGGGTCAGGGGCTCACAGCCTCAGCGACTTCCCTGCTTCGGCCAGTAGCCATCACAAGGCGAACGTCCTGATTCTTTGGTCAGATGCCAGCTCTCTCTAATCTCTCTGGGTTGGGCTTTGGCACATCCGGGCCTTCATGTGTTGGAGGAACATCAGTGTAATGGGCTTTCTCTGGGGGAGAGTCTTCTGGGCGAGGGAGCCAAGAGAGTGTTTTTTCACAGGACCCCCGGGCAGCATTTCGCCTTCCTGTACCAGCATTCTGGGTTAAAAGGTCCCTCAAACTCCCTGTCTCCTCTCTGGCTCCTTTATCTCTGTCTCTGCTGCCAGTCGTGTAGATTCTTTAGGATGGGTTTTTTGGGTTTCTTCTGCATATAAAGGCTACCCTTTTCCCACATTATTTTAAAACACAGTCTGTATTTATGTAATATTTTAAAACAGAATTTCAAGTCTTTTCTATTTTTAACTTTTTTGCGGTGGCGGCGACAGCGTGTGCACCCTGAGCTTATGTGTTTGCTGTTTCTGTGACTAGATAATCCACAAAATTATACTTTATGTGAACCCTGATGAATATATGATGGAGTTTTAGAGAAAGCACACCAAAAATCACTGTCATGGAACTGAAGCGATTTCAAAAATTCAAGAGTCTAGGCCAGATTTTACAGAGTAGGAGAATACTATCTGCATGTTTGTGCCATAAGTGTGCTAAATCGAGTAATTCGTGCTCACAGGAATATGGGTTACAGTATTCACTTTTCCTCTGAGCTGTTTAGAAAACAGTATCTTTTGAGTATTAAAAAGAAAAAACACCAAACTTAAACTATTTGAAGCTTGAAGAGAACAGTGTGATAACGTGGTGTTAGCATAGCAAATACATTTCACTTTGAAAGAATTGTTCATCGGAAGCGGCCAAATTCTGCCCTCTTATAGTCTTTCTTGCAGTGATCTTGTTAGAGACGGTTTTGTTTTTGTCTTGCCTAAAATGTACCGTGCTTCATCTTTGTCAGCAAGCAAAGGGTGCTCTTGCCTTCCATCCTGTTTTATTTTTTTCCAAAGGGAGGAGAAATGAAAGACAGCAGCACACAGGTTGACTCTGTCCTTTTGTGTGTACTCCTGGCCTCCTTTTTCGTGTGGAGTTGTCGAGCGAGTCTGGGCGTCCACGCGTGGAGCTGCTCTGTCCCTCTGGTGGGGAGTCGCTGCCTCAAGTCCTCTCAGTGTGTTCTCTGAACCTCTTTCCAGGGCTGACACCTGCAGTGGTGCCTGGTTGGGTTTGGGGTATTTTGGCAGTGCTGGCGACTGAGTACATAAAGGTTCTTGGACTTTGGATCCGGCAGGGCCCGGGTGAACCAGGCCCCTGGGGAACCAGCTCCCTCTCCCCCTGCCGCCGGGAGCCCTTCTGATGGGCATGCGTTCAGCTGGGACTGGGTTTCTGCTTTTGTTTCTTATAATGAGGACACGCTTAGCTTGATTATATGTGGCCTATCCTTGTTTTTTAGAAGAAAAGTTTTTGTTGTTGTTGTTCGTTGTTTTTTTTTTTCTTTTTTTTTTAAGCAAAATTCTGTACCATGCTCAGGAGATGTTAAACATCATTTACCCCACCCTCCAAACTTATGAAATATAGAATAGGTCTATTTTTGTTTGTGTGTTTAGTGATTTTCTGTCTGTCTCTATCTGCCTGTCTTTCTTTTTTGTAGGTTTCTTGGCGTTTTGTGAATCTTCTTTCCTTCAGTTTGCGTAGGTCTCGGTCACATTTGAATCGAGGGAGACTTTGGAGAAGGTTGGTGCCTGGTGCCTCAACAGTCATTTTTGAAAACTCCTTGGGCAGTCAGCTCAATGTGGAGCGCTGCTCTCGGGCCGGGAGCAGATGCAGTACGTGAAGCCGTTTCTGACCCCACCTGTGCTTTTGGCATCACTCTCCCGCGAGGTTTAATTGGTAGATTTTATTTTTGAGAGGCGTGTGATGTCTTTTATTTATTTTATTTCATTTTTTTAGCATTCACCCATGAAAACTTTAGGCCCCTGCGCAGTGATGAATTCCAGATTTCCGAAAGTCGCTCGGTTTCCCAGGTTTGCCATATAACCCGCTGCGCAGACGTGCACGCCTGCTTCTCTTTCTTGCCGCCAGCCTTGCTCTGCCCACAGACCCAGCTGCTCCTGGGCAGCCAGGGACGCTTGGGAACGCTCCCGGGAAATGTCTGTCCTTCCCTCCCGCCACACCCACCCCTGCGTGTCAGTGGAGACTCTCGGGTTTTGTGGTCCCTGATTTCTCACCTCGGCGCTCGAGTAGCATGGCCACATGATAGCGCTCTCTCTCTCTCTCTCTCTCTCTCTCTCTCTCTCTCTTCCCCCCTCCCCCTCTCTCGCTCTCTCCCTCCCCTCTCCTCCCTCTCTCTCCCTTTCTCCCTCTCCCTCTGTCTCTCATCAGACTGCAGGGCGGAGCACTTCCACTTCCTGGATAGAATGGAGTGTGGTGTTACAAGCACTCCTCGTGGTTTGGAAACCCTGATTTTTCCTTCTGTTTTCTGACCCAGCAGACACCAGTACAGACACATTCTGATTTTTGTGAGAAAGAAAACCAGCATCGGCAGGCCGAACTACCCAGGGACAGGCTGTGCCTCAGGAAGCATGATTCCCTGCGCTTGGTCTTCTGGCTTGAGCTCCGCTAGTGCAGGGTTTGGTGATGTCCCCCATCATGGGAGGGTCAGCGAGGTGCTCTTCTTTGAAGGCACGCGGGGGTCTGAGCGTGTCATCAAGCCCCTCACTCATCACTCCCAGAGCTGAGCACAGCTTTAGGAGACCTGGGGGTTTTCTGTGCTAGTGTTGGAAATCGTTCTGAAGTCCAAGGCAAGGCTTTAAATCAGTCAAGCCTTCCGTAGCTTTTTCTTTTTTTTAAACTGTCAGGAAAGCAAGATTTAAAATCATTTTCCTACTTAAGGAAAACCTCTGTCCATACTTTATTTGAATTCACTAAAACGGTGAAGGGGTTTCTCTTCAAAGGTCGGAGCCGGATCTAGTGTTGGGTTTGTTTCAGTTGTGCTTGTTTCTTCGTTCTCTAATGGACCAGACGTTCCTAGCCATGGTGGGAGTCGGAGAGAGGCCAACTGACCAGCCTGTGTGTCCTGCCATGAACTGTCCCCTGCTGCACCCCTCAGCCCCCTGAGTCCATGCAGGCCACCCAGGCGGGCAGTGGCCTTTCTCTTGCCCACTGCACTGCCTCTTCTTCCTTCTCTCCTGCTGCTGCCGGTGTGTGACTTGAGCTGAGGTCAGTGTGTTCTCCATCCCGGGAGGAGAAAAAGCCGCTCGCCTCCCGTCTCTGCCCTATCCTCTGTCCGTCAGCCTCAGGACCCCCGGAGCTGCTGGGGCCCCTGATCCAGGTCGGGCATTCCAGTGGGCCAGTGATGAAATTGAGGAATCGAGACCTTTTGCTTTCTCTCAGAAGGAGTTCGTGGAACAGCTGTGCGGTGCGGGGGCTGGCGAGCAGCGTGGGTAAGGCAAACCTGGCTGCAAATGACCTGTGTTCAGTCCTGGGTAACGCTTACAGTTCCCCGAGCAGAGCCGGCTGTAGCTCCCCAGCCCACCCCCCAAAACAAGCCTGTACCTTTACAAATAACGTTTTGTTTAATACTGGTGAGAGCTCACAACCAAGACTGTAACTTAGACGAGCCGCTTTCTCTTTTCTGTTTTGAGTTTTCGGGGGAGGGGTGGCGGTGGGAGGGTCGTGCCCGGCTATTCTCAGGGCTCACTCCTGGCAGGCCTGGGGCTATGCATGGGGTGCCAGGGGTTGAACCCAGGTTGCGCACGCTCCAGCCTAGATGAGGGGGTGTCCCATTTCCCCTCCCAGCTTGCTCTACTCATTTATGTATTCATCTGGGATTTTGAGCGTTTGCAGAATGAATTGCCAATCTTAAGAGGCACTTATCAGGAAGAATGTCAGCCTGAGAGGCTAGTTCAAAGTTGATTGGCAGGATTGTGGATAATCTGCTTATGGAATTGGAAATGCTTATCAGATAGGCATCTAAAAATACCCTAGCCCATAAGGAAACAAATCCTGGGACCAGTTCAACTTGTTCTGTCCAGGGAAGCTTAATATTTTAAGGTTCAGTCTTTTCTCACTCAGAAAGCAGTGGCATGTACAGATGTCTTTTAAGGTTCTAACTTAAAGCAGATTTGATTTCAACTTTTCTTTCTCACTGAAAAGGATGATTATATAAAAGTATGACCCATTTCTTACAAGTTGTGCTTGTTTTATTCTTTGAGTACTACTACTTAAATTTAAATTTTAAAGCCATAGTATCTATGGAGCAAGAGCAACCATGTCTGTTAGCAACTGGAAAGTTTTCCCCAGAGCAGGGGCTGTAGAGAGAGCAGTCCAGGATCCAGTAGCAGGTAGTCCTGTGGTTGTGTTTTCAGAAATAAAGAACAACAATGATAAATATGTTTTGTAGCACAGTCATCTGTCTAATTAAAAAGACGGCACAGTGATGAAGTGTGCGGTGCCTGGGGAGTGATAGAAGAGCGAGTGTGCTACCTGCATGTGCCCTGCTCGTTCAGTCCCTGCCACCAGCCACGGCCCCGGTGGCCCTGAGCATCACGGGGCCTGGCAGCAGCGTGTCCTCGAAGCCTGGCATTCCGCCATTCAGTGGGTTGACGGCATTACAGAAAGCCGGCCTGAGGGGCCTCAGAGCTCTGCTTGGGAGCCCCTCAGCCCCCGCCCCCCCGAAAGAGACAGATTGTGAGGACATGGCCTCTGGGGCTGGACCGCCCAGCTCGGGAGCCCTGCCCCCGCTGTCGCCACCCTCGCCTGTCCCTGGCTGTCCGCTGGCATCCAGTGGGAAGGGCAGTGGCACCAGGCAGAGCGCTTGCTGCCTGCCCCGTTACCCCTGCGAGTTGCTTTGCTGCGTAGGGCAGACGCTAGCAGCTCCCTGTCGCGTGAAATGCAGCTCAGTCCCACGCGAGGCAGAGACGCTGATGCAGCTCGCATTTAGTTTCCAAGAGCAGATTCTCTCTTCAGACTGTGTGGCATTGGGTTCTTGGGGAGTCTCTATTTCAGTGCTTGGTAGCATAGATTTCTCACGCTCCTTTAACTGAACATGATATTCGTTCATAGATTAACACGCTGTTCCTGTGTGGCAGATGCTTATTAGGAAACAGTTTAAGCATTTAGAAGAAGCCCTCTTCTCTTGATTTATAGCCAGTGTAGATGACTGACATTAAAATTAATTTTAATGTCAGTCATCTACATTTAATTCGGTAGATCTAATACTAAGTCTTCACCTTTGGTTTTCAAAATCACAAATTAATAAGATCCACACTACCCTATTTTTAATTTTTACCTTTTTTTTAAGTTAATAAACTGTGTCATATGGTTCTTAACTTCAGAGGCCAGGATTGTTGGTGATTAGTGATTTTCAGCGTGTGCTCAGCTCTTCCTGCACTTGGAGGAGATTGGATGGGGCATTGTGGCCAAGGCATCCGCTTGTCCCTGGCCTCGGCTGGAGACAGCCGCGCTCCGGGCAGGAGCTGTGCCTCACATGTCTCCTCTCACTGTTTGGATTAAAAATAGGCTCGGCCACGGCTTTCACAAGTGTCATATCTCACTCTCGAGTAAGATAATGGACCTGTGTTCCAGATCCCAACTCTCGGTTGTGGTCTGGAAGACAAGAGGTGGTCCTGACGGGCTTAGTGAAGGGGCAAAGGGCCGGAGTCGGCCAGGGTCAGGGGTGCTGGAGCTGCGGAAAGCGAGGCAGAGAGTGACGTGGGCCTGGGTTCAGCACTGCCCAGAGTGTCCACCTAAGAGGAGTTTCACTTGATGCAGCCTGTCTGGCTCAGTCTGACTTGGACAAGTTCTGGTCCGTCTTCCGGTTTAGGTTCATTAGGTTCGGCCCTGGGTTTGCCCGCCTTCTGCTCTCTTCCTTGAGCTGGCATACAGAATTTGCCTCTGTTCCGGACTTGCTCAGAGCCATGCCTGAGTTCAGCCCTGGACTGTGCGCTTTGTAGAGAAGAGGAGTACGTTTTGCGTCAGCCGGCCACTGAGTAACCAGCGTTCTGTTCTGGATACCGTCTGGGAGATGCGGCTTTGTAGAAGGAAGGAGCCCTCCCTCAGGGCAGACCAGACCCTCAGCGGCCCTGCTCGGAGTTACTGGGTGTCGGGATGGGGATTCCGTAGCTTGGGGGTTGCAGTGCACGTGACAGCTGTCAGCATAGGAGCCGGAGCTTTTTCTGTCCTGAGAAACCAGCTTGTAGGGACAGGAAAGCATCTTCCCAGGCTGGCATGGAAACCGAGACCCAGTGAGAGAACACTTACATTGCTTCTTCCGGGGTGTTTGGGGCAACACCCAGCAGTGATCCGGCCTTACTCCTGGCTCTGCACTCAGGGATCACTCCTGGTGGTTCTTGGGGTACCATATGGGATGCTGGGGATTGAACTCGGGTCAGCTGAGTACCAGACAAGTGCCCTACTCACTGTGCTATCGCTGTGGCCTACCTTGCTTTTCTTTTCCTAATACATTTTCACTTAGATGACTTAGTAAGAGGCTTCTGTTCACAGTTTAGATTTAGCTCAAAATAAAGATGGATTCTGCTCTTACTAATTAGGGAAAACATTTTCAGTTCATGTCGCAGAAAACTAAAGCACAGGGAAAGGTGCTTGCCTGATATGCAGCTGACCCAGGTTCAGTTCCTACACCATAGACGGTCTCCCAGACCCCACTGGAGAGAGAGGAGAGTTTCTATAATAAAGACTCTGCCCTATTTATTTTATTTTAGTATTATTTTTTAATTGAATCACCGTGACATACAGTTACTAAGCTTTCATGTTTTTCAGTCATACAATGATCGAAAACCCATCCCTCCACCAGTGTCCGCATTGTACTCCCGCTTTCCACCTTTCCCCCTGCCTCTGTGGCAGAGTTTCTCTCTCTCTCTCTCTCTCTCTCTCTCTCTCTCTCTCTCTCTCTCTCTCCCCCCCCCCCCCCTTTTGGGCATTATGGTTTGCAGTACAGATACTGAGAGGCTATCACGTTTGGTCCTTAGTCTACTTTCAGCACATATCTCCCATCCCGAATGAGAATCTGCCCTATTTAGAAAAAGTCAGGGTAGAATTCGTGGAAACCATGAATGTGTAAGATGATTTCCTAATGAGTGAATGTAACTTTGAAACGCCACATGGTAACTTCTTCACCAAGAGGTCCATCGGACACTGGCCTGACCTGTGTGGGCTCGGGGCTGTCTCGCCCTTTCCTCAGGAAGTGCCATTGGGTATGACCCCTGCAGGAGCAACTGCTTGAGATTGGTTTTCAGAATCTCTTCTACACATACACGCATGTCACTAGCACATGTGTATCACACCAGGCTTGTGGTTGTGAAAGATGAGAAGCCTGGTCGGACCCTGTTGAGTCGTGGCCATGCTGCCACCCAGTCGCTCCATTGCTGTCAGATGCTTCCCAAAGGAGTGCAGCCCGAGAGAGCCAGTGTACTGTCGAATAGACAGGACAAAGTGCAGACAGTGCTTAGATGCTTACAAGTGTGAAAGGACTAATGGGAAGGCTTAGTGGGCCTCAGAAGGTGAAGCTCTCTCAGACTCCTGGGAAGCCTTTGCTGAGCAGCACTGGACGCAGATGGCCGCCCGCTGGATCATGGCTTCAGATTGCCCACTTATAACAGCAATTCTCATTTGAAAATGTTTGTATTCAGGGCCAGAGTGATAGTATATTGGTAAGACCTTTACCAAGGCCTTTAGCATGTGGCAGACCTGATTGGATCACTGGCACCTGATTTGGTTCCCCAAGCACTACCTGGAGTGATCCCTGAATACAGAGCCAGGAGTAACCAGTAATTGGCGCCAGGTGTGACTCAGATACAAACACACAAACAAATAAATGAAATGTCTCTGTTACTGCTTTCAGGCAGAGCACGACACTCTAGTGAGTAGTCATAACTTCCCTCATTGAGTTGAAATTTTACAGATCCAGACCAGTGCCCATTGCCCGTGTACGCCAGTGTTTGTCCACTGAAGATCGCTTACTTCCAGAACACGTAAAGTAAGACTCAGACTGTCCTGACTGTTGTGTTCCAGGGATAGACGCCTGCTCCAGCCCGCCCAGGTGTGTGACATTCTGAAAGGGGTCCTTTTGGCTATCTGCTATTTCATGATGCACTACGTCGACTACTCCATGATGTATCACCTGATACGGGGGCAGTCGGTCATCAAGCTCTACATCATCTACAACATGCTCGAGGTGAGGTGGCTCCTAGGCCGCGTCGGGCACGGGGCTTCAGACCTTGGGTATTTTGCGCAGTCACCCCAGTGACTGGACTCAAGGGCGGGCCAGGACTTGGGAGCTTGGGGCTGGAGAGGCTTCCTGAGAGCTGTGCCTTTGCTGCTGGCCTGGCGTCGTCCAGGCGGTGGCTCATCGGGCTGTCCCATGGGCTGTGCCCACTGCAGCACCCTCGTGAGGATGGACGTCACAACGCTGGGGAGTCTGTCTTGCAGATCCATTAGAAACCCCTGTGCACCTTAGCCAAAGCTTTAAAGATTCTGAAGAAAACGCTAGTTGTGTTCTTATGTTTGCTGTCAGGTGTTAAATTGTCCTGAATTTTTTACATCGAACAGACAAATACGGTTTCTTCGTTGCTCGACATGCTTAACAATTGCTATGCGTTCTGTCACTTGAAAGCAGCCTATGAAAAAGATTGCATTTCTACAGAAATCAATTTAAGCAGTTATAGAAAATGATTCCACCTTATGGGTGGAATTTTAAAAAATTTTTTAAATACAAAGGGTTTTGGTTTTGGTTTTTTAAATATGCTCTTTTAAATATGAAGCTACCTTGGGTTCTGTAATTAGCTTTTGGGATGCAGGTGGCATATTCCTCTGTTGTTATCTGGGGACATAGGTCTGGGGTGCCTCTCAGCTTGGTTGCCCGTGAAGGGATTGTTCTAATGAGGAGGCAGAGGCAAGGGTGTCTGGTGAGGGCTTTGTGCCTCATCGCAGAGTCCTGGCCCTTCTACGACTACCCATCTCAGCTTCTGACTTGGGGCCCATTGCCCCTCAGGATGCTGACGGGGATGGGGGTGGGGGCTGGTGTTTGAGTAGCAGAGTAGCCATCCCGCTGAGGGAGGCGCGCCAGGCCTCCTCTCCTCTGCTGGCCTGCTGCCCCGGGACACTGTTTACAGACTCAGCTACCAGGTCACAAGGGGAGAGGCCGGAGGAGGGGCTCCAGTGCCTGCTGACCCAGGATGCTGTCTAGTGGCATCGAAGTGTCACACCCCTGGGATTGGAGGTGCCGCTGAGTTTTAGAACTGTACTGAAATCGACTCGAAGAAACCACTTTCTGTTGATTTTTCTTTTCTTTTTAGGTAGCAGACCGTCTGTTTTCATCATTTGGACAAGATATATTGGATGCTCTATACTGGACAGCCACAGAGCCTAAAGAAAGGAAAAGGGCCCACATCGGGGTGATTCCTCACTTTCTCATGGCTGTTCTCTATGTCTGTATCCTTTCAGACTCCCAGGAGTCCCAGCAGTCACTGTGTACTCCACACTCTGAACAGAACACGTCCTCTGGTTTGTGTAGCTGCCTCGCAGATTTAGAGAGCGAGAGTGTGTGTCTGTGTGTGTGTGTGTGTTTGCGCCCGCACGCGCGGGCCCTCAGGAGTGCGTCATGCGATGATTTCTCATGGTGTCTCTGAATGTAGGAATGTAGGAATGTAGAGAATGTAGGATTAATGGTTGAAAAGTTAAGGGAATTTGTGGAATGATTAGTGTGAGAGTCAAGTTTGTGTGAGTGCAGTGTAAAACAGTTGCTGTTCTTACGTAACTCATATGAAGCTGAATATAATTCAGCGACTTGTAGACACTTTAGGAAAGTAACAGATGAACCTATATTTATCACAATTCATTCCACTTTTTAAAAACTTTCTGAGGGCCTCTTTCCCAAGCTTTGCCTTGGTACGGGAGGTTCCGGGTAGCTGTGTTCTGCAGTGACCTTGGGGATGGCCTGGCAGCAACCCCCTCCCGTGCATGGTTCCTGTGGATTGCCGCCCCCCTGCTCTGCCAGATGTGTCTAAGCTACAGCCAGTAGGGAAGTTACAAAACTAATGGAATGCTTAACCAAGAATCGATTAAAAGCAGACTCACCTTTTGTTCCCACCCTTCACTTTCAAGATTTTGTAAGCCCTCCTGATAGCGTATGAAAGCAGACATTGGGTTGGTTCCTTGACATCGCTTTCTGCTAGTTCTGCACGCGATTCTTATTCTGGTTCAGGCAACAACTCTCAACGTAGCTTTTAACTCACACAACAAGTCACTGCTCACCATCATGATGTCTAACAATGTAAGTATGAGGTTTCAGTTCCTGTCTGTCAGGTACATGAGCACCTGTCCCGCAATAGTCTGACGGGGTAAAGTAATGTTTTCTCTCTTATTTATTCTCCAGGACACAGTATATCCTTTTTTTTTTTTTTGGAACTGTTATAATGATGAAAATATTTCTGTTTACTGTTTCAGTTTGTTGAAATTAAAGGAAGCGTTTTCAAGAAATTTGAAAAGAACAATCTTTTTCAAATGTCAAATAGCGGTATGTAAATTCAGTTCTACTTGCAGCTTCCTACAGTAGTATTTTGCAGTTCATTTCTAAGCTCTGACATCACTTTTTATGCAGGCTGTTGTTTCTTTCCTTTTCAAGTTTTTTTGGTTTGGGGGCTACACCCAGCCCTGCGTAGGGCCTGCTGCTGGGGACCAAACCCAGGTCAGCTGCCTGCGAGGCAGACAAACGCCCTGCCCACTACATTGTCTCTCCAGCCCCCGAAGTGGTGTTTCTTTGATATGAGCTGTGCATTCTCTCACTCAGCATCTTTGCCGTCTCCTTATTATTCTGGTTACTATCACAGCATGCTTAAAACGATTAAAAAAATTGCGAACATTTGTCCAGCAACATAGCATACTTCCAGAAACTTCTCATCAGTACAGAAATTTCTTGGAAGCAGGTGTTGTGAGTTCATCTTGTGAAGGTGGAAACAGAAACATGAGTTTGACTTCCACGGGGTCATTCCCGTGGTGACAAGCCTCACCTGCCTCTGTTCTGTTCATTTAGTTTTGCTGTGCGGTTCCTTTCTGATCGTAGGTGTGAAGGCGCAGAACTTCCTGTGGGAACATTGCAGTATGTGTCTGCTAAGGAGCACTGTTCAGCTGTTAAGGGGGGAACAGAATCGCTGCTATTTTTAGCTATAGAGATGAATCGCAAAAACATTATGCCAAGCAAAAAGGAGGTCAGACACAAAGAAATAATTTTGTGTGATTCCATGAGTTTTATCATCAAAGTTAATTCATGATGATAAAAGTAAAAGAGAGTGATTGCTTATGGGGATGAGGCCGGGCTGGGAAGGAATGGATCCAAGGGACCTTCCTGGAAGTATGGCGTTGTTCCTTACCTGATCGTTTTGGGCGGTGCACACACAGCAGTGCTCAGGGGCCCCTCTTGGTGGTGCCAGACGTCTAGATGCAGCTCCTGCGTGCAACGTGTACTTCCTCCTGTGGAACCTGTTTTATATTTTAGTTAGCAGGAAGAGTGGCCCAAGTTAAGCACCATCCAAACTTAGTCGGAGGTTCACTTAGAAAGCGGTCACTTCACTGCTGAATACTTCAGAAAAGGGGGAAAGTAGTGGCATCTGCAAATGTTTAAGCAAAGTAACACTTGGAATCACTGAACAGACACAGGCTAGATGTGAACAAAAAGAAGCATGCCCAACAGAATCCAGTCCGGATGAGCGTCTAGGGCCAGGTGCCTCTTGGTTCTCAGCACTCTTACCGAGGTCTGTGCTGTGGCGCCGTGCATTCATACTGGCCATGAGTGCCACCGCGTTTTGTGTGGGGTAGAAACTGGGGGGGGGGGGGGGGGGGGGGAGGGTCAGGAGGTGCTGTGATCAGGTAGGGCATGCTGGATCGCCGGAGAGTCAGGCGTTTATTCCAACTTACAGCGGTCTGTAGGCCGCCCCACGAGAAGGGTTTCCCTTGGCGAAGGTAAAGCACTTGGTGCTGCAGTGCAGTGTCTCTCCCTGTCTCCTTCAGCTTTTATAGGCATTTGATGCCGTTGCAGGGAGTTTTGAAAACCTTTCTCTAATTTTTGAAAAAAAAAAAATCTGGGGGCTGGAGTGATAGCACAGCGGGTAGGGTGTTTGCCTTGCATGCAGCCAACCCGGGTTCAATTCCCAGCATCCCGTATGGTCCCCCGAGCACCGCCAGGAGTAATTCCTGAGTACAGAACCAGGAATAACCGCTGCGCATTGCCGGGTGTGACCCAGAAAGCAAAAGCAAAAAAAAAAAAAAAATCTGGCCTAACGTTGCTTGTGGTGCTTAGACAGCCCAGGGCCAGGTCAGGCCGGGGGTCACTCCGGGCTGCTGTGGCGGCTGAGGGTTTGCTTCCTGGACAGGCATTGGCGGCTGGGCATGCAAGCGCATCGCAGACGCTGCCCGTCACACAGCAGCTGCTTTCTTTTCTGTGAATTTGCCTGTTTATCTCTCTCAGGAGTTGAGCTGCCGAATGCATCTTGTAAGTTTCACTGCCTCATGCCAGTTTAATGTTGAAGACTGCATTTAGACGTTTTAGAGTAACTTGATCCCTTGCTGTCTGTGAGTTGACCATTCGGGGAATTGGCTTGAGGACAAAGAGAGTGTAGTTTATTCAACCAGACTTGGAGCTTTCATCCTTTCCCCTGCATCTGAGTATAGAACTGTGGACTCTGTCTGCTTCATGTTCGTTTTGGATCACTGTAGTGGTACTCAGGGCCTGCTCCCCAGATTAGCTCTTATGGGTTGCTTTGCTGTGCCCAGGGAACCGTGTGCAAGAGAGCAAACCTGGGCCCTTCGACATGCAGTGTGTTGCCTTCAGTCCTTTGAACTGTTCCCTGGCCCGGAACCTAGAATGTTCTGACTTAATATTTGTGACATGAGAATGTTGACCGAGTGGTTTCATGTGAACTCTGCATTCAGAAACATCCTATAGGAGGTCTGTTGATGCGGAATAAGGCTCCAGGGCTTGAGAGAATAGCCGGTGGGTGAAAGAACTGGCTTTCCACGCGCACCTGGTAGATCCCTGGCACCAGGTGGTCTCTTCGAGCACCACCAGGTGTGGCCCTCGAGGCTCCTAAGCCCCTCAAAGATGGTCCAGCTTACCCCCAGCTCCGCAGTCCGAGCAGCACCACGTCCTCGGATTGAGCAGTGACCCGCCGGGAGGGGCCCAGCTCAGGGCCAGGGCCTGTAACAGACCACTTAAATGACAGTTGGAAACACAGCAGCCACCTGTTTTACATGTAAAACGTGCCTGTAAAATTTTTTTATACCCTGTTAATGCTAATATAGTAGGGAAAATGGGACCCAACATCCTAAATATCAGAAATGTTTTTAATGAATTCATCTTTGTCTTTAAGTTCCTTGATTAAAAAGAATTCCCCAATAGTACAACAGGTAGAGCGTTTATCTTGCTTGCTGCCGGTCAGATTTGATATCAAGCACTTAGTATGGTCCCCTGAGCACAGAGCTAGGAGTAACTCTTGAGCACCACCGGGTATGGCCCAAAAAGCCAAACACACACACACACACCCCCCTTTTGGGGCAGTTTTAGAGTTTAGTTCAGTGTTAACCATGGTAACAATCTATTCTTCTCAGAAAGGTGATTATTTACCTGTGTTATATTTTATTTAGCTAAAATCTGTTTTTAGATGTGATTGCAGTATTAGTGCTCTCTTAGCTAGACGAGGGGGTTTCATAAGGTTGATGCTTCTGCTTGCAGTTTTACTGGTTACTCAAAATTTTATTGGTGCTACTTTTTTTTTCTTTATAAAATTTAAACATCTATCATGTTCCCAGAAAGTATTGGAATAGATTGATGATTTGAATACTTGTGAAAATGTATTTAAAATTTTTTTTACATAGTAGAGTTACTGATGAAGTCAGTGTCTTAACCAACAGATCATCCTATATAAAAATACACCTGTCTTATGTGAATAATATATTGATTTTATCTATTTGAACATAATGTCATTAGGTTCTAACGATTTTTATCTGTTAATTCTTTTAGATATTAAGGAACGATTCACAAATTATGTGCTCTTGCTAATAGTGTGTTTAAGAAACATGGAACAATTTTCTTGGAATCCAGGTAACTCTCAGCAAATACAGTGCTTTCTAGAAAACTTTACTCTCCTTTTTTTCTTGGCAGCTGTGAGTTTCGGGGAGGGCTCTCAGTCTGTGCTCAGGAGGCTGGAGGAGCCCTGCCAGCCAGGCGGTGCATGGGTTCGTGGGGACCCCTCAGAGCCACCCAGGCAATGTCAGGGCCTGCAGGGCTGCACCAGATGGGAACTGTGTGGTGTGGGGGATGTGACCCTGTCCGATACCTTTGCACCTGTATCATCTCCCCAGCCCTCTCCTCTTGAACAACAAAAAAAATTATTCCTGTAAACTATATGTACTCACTGCTGGTTTATAGATACTTGTGAGAAATCAGAACAGATGTAAAATGTAATCCATGATCTTGGGAATATAGTTAAATACAGTTCCAAAAGTTATTTTCTGGCAGGGGCCCCGTAAGATCAAATAATCTGCCGTACAGTAACAAGTTCTAGTCTCAGTCGCTCCCAAGACCGTGTGTCTTTGGACAGCCAAGCCCTTCTCGGTCCACATCCTCTGGCCTCTGGCTTCTCGGCTCATCCTACACCAGCTCACGGGCTCCACCACGGCAGTCCTGGGCCAGTGTGACTGCAGAGCTTGGGGGTCTGCAGGCCTTTGGCTGGGTGGTTGTGCCAAGTCGGGAACCCAAAAGTCTCCTGACTGCTGGATGTTTGAAATTGTGTCTCACCTGTTTGATGTTGACTTTGAACCCATCATCCAGTGACTGCGTGTCAGATAAACCAGATGTGAAATCTGTTTATCATTCTTTCCCAGCTGAGAACATTTTTTATGAACATTTTTTAAATGAAATTACTGTTTCTAGAAGCTTGCCCTAAATGCCCAGGATTATAAGTAACAAAAACAAGTCCATGCTGATTGCTCCACACATTCCACACTTCCCTCTTGTGACTCTTACCACGGTGAGAGAGATACTTTTTCGGGTAGATACGGAACGTGGAGTGCAGGTAATTAAGGAAGCTGCGCCCCCAGGTCCCAGTGTGTGACAGGCACCACCGCAGACTGCCCCGCGCTGCCAGGGCCTGAAATGCTGTAGGTCTTTGGCAGGCGCTTGGCACAGAATTGGCATTCTCATACATGTAGCGAAAATACAGAAGAGCAGATCTGACAGAGTACACCCCTGTGACCGGAAATAAAGGATGGCTCTTTCTTTATCTAAGTCCCAGAGACCAAGGTCAGAGCCTGTCCAGTGCCGGCACATGCTCCTGACCGGTTCCTACGGCAGTTTACAGCTGGGGAGTGTGCCAGGAGCCCTGCTCGCCGGGAGGGTCCCTGTGGGCTGAGGTCTCCTTCGGCCAGATCAGCATGCCCTTCGCTGCGTGCTGCCCTCTAGTAGAATCCTGCTCTCACCTCAGGGAGATTCTTGAGTGTCTACGCTGGTCTGTGAGTGGTGAATTCTGAATTTTGGGTGTCGCAGATTCTTTTCATGTGAAAGTTAATTGTCTCTTTCCCCCTGTACTTTGTAGATCATTTCTGGGTGTTGTTTCCAGATGTCTGTATGGTAATCGCATCGGAGATTGCTGTGGATATTGTGAAACATGCCTTTATCACCAAATTCAATGACATTACTGCAGATGTATGTATTACACGAAGCAGCCCAGCGTTAAACGTCTCCCTTAATACAGAACAAGTAACAATTTTAGGTTTCTTGATTTTAAGAAGATAATAACAGAGTACTACTACTTGAAAGTTAGAATTTCAATTCAGATTTCTAAAAATTCTACTAATGAAAGTATTTTTTCAGCTAATCAGTCCTGGTTATCAAAACTTTTCTCTCTAGCTAGAGTTGTAAAATCATTTTTTTTAAAAAATTGATTTCCCTATAATTTTGAGTAGGTTTCTGATAAATCCTAGAAGACAAAAGCCTGATATATCTCTGGTGAAAGCAGTTGGTGAATTTTTCAGTCTTTAACACAATGGAGGCAGTTACATTGTAGAATTTCCAGAGATACATTCATTATATAAAAACATGCGAACCAGCATTACCCAGCACATCCTTCCCTCAGGCCCAAAGTGAATGGTAATATCAACAGTTTTCTAGATTTTATTGGGGTTGTCATTTGCCTTGCTGGATACCTACTATTTTATTTCAGAAGACAGATTTAAAGTGCAATGCAGCTGTAGCTGCTGCAGTGTAATAATTGAATGATAGTCTTTTCAGGGCTTGCTTTGTTGTTCCCCTTCTTTTAGGGGCCATGTCCAGAAGCGCTCGGTGCCACTGCATTGCCAGGGGTCAGACCTTGAGCACCACAGGCAGAGGATAGCCCAGTTTCTGGACCCATCTTCTCAGCCCACTTTTCTGAATGCAGAATATACTTGAATTTTAACTTTTTTGTAAAGCACTATGAAATAGTTATTTCTTTTTTTAAATTTTTTTGGAGGTTATTATTATGGTCTTTTTTTTTTTTTAATTTTTATTAGTGAAACACCATTAGGTGCAGTTGTAGATTTAGAAATTTTTGTGCTTGGGTTTCAGTTACACAGTGATCAAGTACCCATCGCTCCACCAGTGCCCATTCTCCACCATCTATGATCCCAGTATCCTTCCCACAACCCCCATCCCACCCTGCCTCTTTTTTTTTTTAAATTAGTGAAACATCATGAAATACAATTGTAGACTTACAAATTTTTGTGGTTGGGTTTAAATTATATAATGATCGAGTACCCATCCCTCCACCAGTGCCCATTTTCCACTACCATGGGTCCCAGTATCCCTCCCACTCCCCCACCCCCCCCATCCCACCCTGCCTCTGTGGCAGGGCACTCCCTTTTGTTATCTCTCTCCTTTTGGGTGCTGTGGTTTGCAAAAGAGGAATTGAGTGGCAGTCATGTTCGGTCTATAGACTACTCTCAGGATGCATCTTCCATCCTGGGCAGATCTTCCCAACACCCTTTATTTGGTGCTCCCTTCTCTATCTGAACTGCCTTTTCCCCTAGCATGTGTGACTGGCCTCCAAGCCATGGAGTAAACCACCTGGTACTTATCTCGGCTATTCTTGGGTGTTAGTCTCCTATTTTGTTACTTTATGTTCCCCAGATGAATGCAATCTTTCTATGTCTATCCCTCTCTTTCTGACTCATTTCGCTTAGCATGATACTTTTCATGTAGTACCACTTGTTTGCAAATTTCATGACTTCATCTTTTCTAACAGCTACATAGTACTCCATTGTGTAGATGTACCAAAGTTCCTTTAACCAGTCATCTGTTCTCGGGCACTCAGGGTTTTTCCAGATTCTAGCTCTTGTAAACAGTGCTGCAGTGAACAAACAAGTGCAGATGTCACTTCGACTATACTTTTTTACCTCTCTGTGATATATTCCCAGGAGTGCTATTGCTGGGTCAAATGGGAGCTCAATTTCTAATTTTTTGAGAATCGTCCATACTGTTTTCCAAAAGGGCTGAACCAGTCGGCATTTCCACCAGCAATGGAGGAGGGTCCCTTTCTCGCCACATCTGTGCCAACACCAGTTGCTTTTGTTCTTTTGGTTGTGGGCCAGTTTCTGTGGTGTGAGATGATATCTCATTGTTATTTTGATCTGCATCTCCCTGATGATTAGAGTTGTAGAGCATTTTCTCATGTGCCTTTTTGCCATTTGGATTTCTTCTTTGAGAAAGTTTCTGTTCATTTCATTGCCTGATTTTTGGATGGGGTTGGATGTTTTCTTCTTGTGGAGTTCAACCAGTACTTTGTATATCCTTGATATCAACCCCTTGTTGGATGGGTATTTGGCAAATATTCTTTCCCATTCTGTAGACTGTCTTTGTATTTTGGTCACTGTTTCTTTTGAGGTACAGAAGCTTCTTAGTTTAAGATAGTCCCATTTGTCTGTTTTCACTTGCTTGGCCAGTGGTGTGACATCTTTGAAGATACCGTTAGCTTGGTTTTGCCAACCTTGTCTTCAGTGTACCTTATGGATTCCGGTCTGATGCTGAGTTCTTTAATCCATTTTGATCTTACTTTTGTACATGGTGTTAGGCAGAGATCTGAGCCCATTTTTTTGCATGTAATTGTCTGGTTTTGCCAGCCTAATTTGTTAAAGAGGCTTTCCTTGCTCCACTTCACATTTCTTGCTCCCTTATCAAAGATTACATGATTGTATGTTTGGAGGGAGATGTCAGTATATTCAACCCTGTTCCATTGGTCTGCAGCTCTGCCTTTGTTCCAGTACCATGCTGGAACAAATTATTAATTGTTACTGCTTTGTAGTAGAGTTTGGAGTTAGGGAGGTTGATTCCTCCCATCTTCTTTTTCCCAAGAAGTGCTTTAGCTATTCGTGGGGCTTATTGTTCCATATGAATTTCAGGAGTGTTTGCTCCATGAAAGAGTTATTTCACCATTTACTGTTTGGGCTTTCTCACATGACAGCCAGAGTGAAGTCCTTCTCCCTTGGGTCATTTTCCCAGCATCACAAGTCAGATTTCATAGGAACTACTGTAGTTGTTAGTGAGAGTGACCCTTTACAAATACCTTTACTGTCTAACAACTGAGTTCTCTAGTTTAGTTTTCTTTTTTTTTTTTTTTTTTGGCTTTTTGGGTCATACCCGGCGGTGCTCAGGGGTTACTCCTGGCTCTGCACTCAGGAATTACCCCTGGCGGTGCTCAGGGGACCATATGGGATGCTGGGAATCGAACCCGGGTTGGCTGTGTGCAAGGCAAACGCCCTACCCGCTGTGCTATTGCTCCAGCCCCTCTAGTTTAGTTTTATATCTTGCTTAGCATCCACTCTTTAAAGGAGACCTCATTATTGTTAGATAGACAGTAGTAATAATCTCTAAGTGAGTCATTGAAGTTTAAAATCTCAGCATTTTTATATGTACATTATTCTCTTAAAAATAGTCATTCTTGGGGATGGAGTGATAGCACAGCGGGTAGGGTGTTTGCCTTGCACGCGGCCAAGCTGGATTCGATTCCCAGCATCCCATATGGTCCCCTGAGCACCGCCAGGAGTAATTCCTGAGTGCAAAGCCAAGACGTAACCCCTGTGCATTACTGGGTGTGACCCAAAATTTTTTTTAAGAAGTGATTCTTTTAAAAATTTTAAGCTCCAGAACCATAAATCATTGACTATATATCCTTCTCGTGCACATGCAGATGGGGGAGACGCACTTTAGGAAAGCAGAGACATGTAACCCAGATGTCTGCTTGATTATGTCATTCTTTTCCCAGGTTAATTCCTGAGCATTTTATCTACAAAGACTAATTTTGTTTTTGTTTTCTTATTTTTTAGTGAGACACTATGAGGTACAGTTGTAGACTTACAAACTTTCGAGTTTAGGTTTCAGTTATACAATGATCAAGGAGGTAAAGGACCTCTGCAAAGACTAAATCTTGACTGTTGTCTAGTCGTACCACAGTTTGTAGTACATATTTTTGTAGTATATGTATTTTGTACTTACGTAATTCATATTTTTTCTTACTTGTCTCAGGTCTACAGCGAATACAGAGCCAGCCTTGCTTTTGACCTTGTTAGCAGCCGACAGAAGAATGTAAGCATTGTATTAAGGATTTTCCCCCTTTCATAACTGAAAGGAAATCAACAGTGGCTTCATTAAGCATGGGGTGCTAGTTCAGGGTAGCAGCATAAATGTACACTTTTTCCAGTTATCTGCTTTCTCAAAACTAAATGTTTACAAGTCCACAGAAATAATACTAATCATCCTAACAGCTAAAGTGAGAATGTTTTTTGCAGTGTTGTAAAACTCCTGCAATTTTGCGTTTCACAAACTTCTAAACTTGTAGGTTTTCACCCACAGTAGCAGTTTCTCTTCTTGCTCCCAGCCGCCCCCTCCTTAGAGCTTTCTCCTGGGGGTGATGGATAGTACTTTCGTGGTTGGTTTGGTTTGGGCTTGGGCGTGTTGTGTGGGGCCAGTTCCCCGCCACGGGCTGCTCCTGACTCAGTGCTCAGAGGAACCGTGCAGTGTCAGGAATCCAAGCTGGGTCTCCTCTGTGCTCAGCGTGCGCTTCCAGCCATCAAAGCCGACTCTCGGCCATGGGTGCCTGCGTGGGAACCTTTCAACCTGTCACCTCCTCTCTCTGCAGGCGTACACCGACTACAGTGACTCCGTGGCCCGCAGGATGGGCTTCATCCCGCTCCCGCTGGCTGTCTTAGTAAGTCGCTCCTCTTTGCCTTCCATCAGATGACAGGTCACTTGGGATAATAGAGTGTTGACAAGTAGCTCTCAGACAGTTTCCTTCCAAAGGATCTAATATAAAACCGGAGGTCAGTAACTGACGGCTCAGGAAGCTGGGTTTTAAATCCTAGCACTGCCGTTTGGTTGTTGAGCCACCCAGAAGAGGAGAGGTGATAGGAAAGAACTCTGCAGGCCGTGGCTTGGCTAACACGAAACGCTGTTGGTTGCTTGTTTATCTGGGGGTGGGTGGGGCAGTCCCCACTCAGTGCCAGGTCTGGCCCAGGATTGATCACGTGATCCCTAGGCCAGACCCCGCCGTGCTCCTGACAGGGTTTGCAGGCCAGTGCTCAGCTCTGGGAGCTGCCCGCTGGGCCCAGCATTTTTCTTTTGACTGTCAGTACCCAGCAGTGGGTGCTGCCGTGGCCACTGGTGGAAGTGGGGGACACATATCAGCAGCAGTGGACATCTGGGGGACATGCAATGCAGCAGCATTCCCAGGGGGAAGCGGGATGGAAGAGATGCAGCCAACATGCTCCAATGAAGAAGTACTCTGTGCCCATTACAATTGCCCTCAAAATTCCAAAGTATTTACAGTAAGAATTTACATTCTTAGATTCAGGGACTGTACTGCTTTCTGAATCCAATAGCAGCCTTTTTAAAGTCATAAAGTCAGTGAAATCCAAGAGTACTGGGGTAAGATGCTTGCCATGCATGTTGCCAGCCTTGGTTCATGCCCAGCTCGACATGGACCTCTGAGCACTGCCAGGAATTGCACCTGAGCACCGCCTGGTATATCCCCCGCCCCAAATAAATACCATAGCACCAGACTTTACTAAACAAAAAAAAAAAAGAGACAGGTCATCAACCTTGAATATTTAAATGAATCGTTCAAAACAGCTTTGCAAATAGTTGCTAACCACATCTGGCTATAATAATGTTAATATTATTTGTATTTGATTATATTCCTTACTGGCTACATAATCTCACATGAAAATAAATGAAATCTTTTTGCCAAACAACATTTGGAGTTGTATAAAGCGGAAGTCAACTTAGAGAGGTAGAAAGAAGTTGTCTGGCAGACCAACTGTATTAATGGACTTACCTGACTTTCTAGAGGACGAATGATCATTAGATTTGAAGTTATTTAATTTTCAGTGTGACTTTCCAAATAGAATCCTAAAATAGATATGGGATAATATCCCAAGTTTTATAGTTTTTTTGTTTGAGTCCATACCTGGCAGTACTCAGGATTTATTTCCGGATCTGCACTTAGGAATCACTCCTGGCAGTGCTCAGGGGACCATATAGGCATACCAGGGATCGAACGTGGGTCAGCTGTGTGCAGAGCAAGCTCCCTGTTTTCTGGACTATCACTATGACCCCGAAGTAGTTTGTTTAAGGTATGAAAAACCAGAATTCTGGGGAAATGAAATATTTTAAAGAAAAAGTTTAAAAGGTTGGTGTAAAATGAAATAGTCATCTTTTTCTAGTCGTTTCCTGCAACTAGGAAACATACTACATACAGTGTGATGACGAACCTACATAATCTGGCTGATTTTTTATCTTGTTTTTTGGGTCACAGTATCAGTGCTCGGGGCTTACTCCTGGCTCTGCACCCAGGAAATCACTCCTGGCAGTGCTCTGGGGACCATATGGGATTCTGGGGAATGAACCCAGGCCGGCCATGTGGAAGGCAAACAAATGCCCTACCCGCTGCACTGTCGCTCCGGGCCCCACCTGGATGACTCTTTTTTTTTTTTAAACTGATTAAATAGGATTTTCAGTGGTCCTCTTCTGCTGACTGACTTGCTAGAAAGCTCTCTGTATGATTTTTTAAAACACAGCATTTAAAGGATTCCCTCGTCTTTCATTCTTTAAGTGAGCTCATATTTATATGGAGCCCTACCAGAAGACTTGAACTCGCGTCGTACAGTCTGTTATCGGCCATTGCTGGCGCCCTCCTGCTTCCTGGACAGGAGCTCGAATTGTGGGATCTGGCGAGTTTCTCCTGCAGTGCAGAGTAACAGCAGGGAGCCCTATGAAATGTGTCCAGGCCTCCATAATCAAGTTAATTTTTAATTAAAAGCCCAGGAGTGGCAATATTTCCTTCTAAATGTTACCTTAAGTCCTAAATGAATTTGTACCCAAAAGTAGTTGACAGAGGTCCTCCATAAAGGTTTCATGGAAATAAAGATAGTTACTAGATAAAGATACATACTAGATAATAATAAAGTCATGTGATCCTGATTGTGGTCATTAATGACCTTTCATGAGTAACGTCCTGGGGCCACCTTCATCTACATCTCTAGTTTCTGTGCAGCTGTAAGACCTTCCTACCCCTATCTCAGAGTAAGACTTGATTGAATATATGACAGTTCATTTCCTTTATATCCCATTTTTTTATTGAAAGCATTTTTAAATGTTTAAAATATATCTTACGGTTTTTCAGACACTCCAACAAGCTCTTCCATTTCATAATTTAACATAACTAGATAAGATGTATTTTTCTGATTTTCAGTTTCCAGGTAGTAGTCCCTCCTACGCTCCAGTATCTGGGCATGCAGACCTGAACCAGTAATGCATAAAAATACTTTTGATAACACATCGCACTGGGTTTATTTAGCACACTTCCAAGGACCAAGCTATTCTCTGTAAGAGTTAATAAAATACTTAACTGTTAGCTATTCAAAAGAGACAAATTTTTCTTTACAAAAATTAATCTTGGGGCAGGAGTGATGATAGTACAGCAGGTAGGGAGGCTTGCCTTGCATGCGCCAACCGGGATTTGATCCCCAGCATCCCATGTGGTCCCCTGAGCCCACCAGGAGTGATTCCTGAATAAAGAGTTAGGAGTTACTAACCCCTTGGGCCATACCCTGGGTGCTCAGAACCTTCAGGACTATGGCAGATGGAACTTTCAGGGGCTGTAGGGTGATGGGATCAAACTCAGGTCCCTGCAGGTTCATGGCCTGTGCCCCTGACTCTGGCCATCTCCCTAGCCTCTCATTTATTGAAGCAACACAGACCACCTGCAGCTCCCTCTCCACTGCTTCTTGTGAGTTGCGGGGCATTCTTGAAAAGACTGAGAACCAAGGTCAGCAAAAGCAAGAGGAAGAAAAGTGCCTGGCAACCAGCTCTAGCTCCAGTGGGAATGCAGTGAGCGAGATGAATTTATTTGGCTTTCCAGAACAAACACATCTTTGTTTCGAAACTCAGCTGATACCCATTTCTCTTTTTCTTGTTGTTTTAAACTTTGGGGGTTTGGAGCCACAGTCTGCAGTGGTTGGGGGTTACTCTCAGCTTTGCACAAAGAAATTATTCCTGACAGTGCCTGGGGGACAGTTATGGGGTGGTGGGGATCGAACCTGGGTCGGCCATGTGGAAGGCAAATGCCCAACCCGTTTCCCATTGCTCCAGCCCGTTTCCATTTCTCTTAAAGACAAGTAGATATCATTCACGAACCTGACATATTGTCTGACTGCAGAGTTAGCAGTTGAGTGTGTCATCAGCATAGGTACCCTTGATTTGTGGGAACAAATTCAAGTCTGCCACAGAAATGGCAGAGAAGTCCCATCTTGCTAGGAAATGACAAATCTAGAACAGCTTCCTTAGATTCAGACTGAAGCTGCCAAGAATATTAGAATCCTTGTGGGAAATCTTAATTTTAATATTAACTAATAACTCTGGTTGTTTTGTTTGTGTGTTTTTGTTTTGGTCTGTTTCTGGCTAGCTCATCCGAGTTGTAACAAGCTCAATTAAAGTGCAAGGAATCCTGTCTTATGCCTGTGTCATACTCTTCTATTTTGGGTAAGATGAACTCTCCTGAATGTTTGGGGTTATAAAGTAGATCCTACGTACAAGATGTAATGGAAATTAAGCGCCACCGGATCGCATCACACCCATCTAAGTGCCTAGAGCCTCCCTTAGCCGACTCTGCCGCTAAACGTATTTGTGATCGGATTAAAATCCAGGGAAATTGAATGTGTTGCTACTTGGTACTTGTATTAATAGAACTTTACATTTCATTCTGATTGCTAATGAAATAATTTACCTAAGTCCCTCTTGCTCAGAATTTATTCCACCCCTGTTTTCTTTTATGATACGGTCTTCCATTGTTACCAGAGACTTTTCTGCATTTAATAGTATCTTTGCATTTCTGTTGTGTTTGCACGTGAGTATTTAGCACTTGGCTCTGTTTTTGCTCTAAGCCACTGTAGCATGAGCCCAAAGGAGATGCAGAAGTGTCATTTCTCTCTGTGACTGGCTGAACTTTTCTCTGCAGCCGTTGTTCCATGCAACTTGCTCTCTCGTTGGGGGTGAGTGTTCACCTCAAGGAAATGCAGACTGTGCATCCCTTCTCTTCATCAGGATGCTTGCTCTAGAAGCACAACCAGGGAAGTGACCTAAAATACAGAATTGAAGGGCTTTGGCGGCCTTTGTCATATAATAAACCCATTCATTGGACATGCTGTAAACTCATTAAAATAAAATTATTGGGGAACGTGAACTGTTAGGGCAAATGTCTGTGATGAGTGGTCATCTAAAACACGGCAGCTGAGCTAGCGACGCAGCTTGATGGGCCGAAGTGTGCGGGGCTTGCCAGGAGCCTGGGTTCATTCCCTGGATCCTCATGGTCCCCAATACCTCCGGGAGCAATCGCAGGCACAAATCCAGGAGTGGCCCTGAGCACTGCTGCTGACCCACAAAAAAATAAAAATAAAAACACTGATAATAAAATAGCCAAATTGGCTGCCATTTCGCCGTGCCAAGTGTGATTCTGGGCGCTTGCTGAGATCCCGGCCTGGTCAGACTCACTGGACAGGAAATGAAGAGCTGCACAGGTGCTCATTCAGCAGGATGAGTCAGGGTTCGAACTCACACTGTCCCTTATTTGGGGCAAACTATACTCCATTCCACCTCTAAGTGTCCATTTGTAACCCAGATAACTGCAAGATAAGGCGTCATGCTGTCTGTCTCTGGGGTGTGGGATTTTTTTCTTTTTGTTCATCAAATGTATGTTTTGTGGTAAGAAAATAACGGTGAGCGGTGATACGTCAAAGCTGTGTCATGGCTTCTCACTATCAGAAACGTGTCTGGGAAGAAGGTTGGGGACCTGTGCTTGCTTAGGGACTCACCCTCCGAGGTGGCGCCAGGACCTGACGGACAGCAGTGGTTTACATTTTCTTTCTGGTTTTAGGTTGATATCCCTGAAAGTGCTGAATAGTATCGTGCTCCTGGGGAAGTCGTGCCAATACGTCAAAGAAGCCAAAATGGAAGAGAAGTTGTTTCATTGTCCCCCAACCAGCACTCCAGGCAAACCCCCCACCTCCTCGCAGAGCAAGTGTCCGCCCTCCCAAGGTAGGAGCGCAGCTTCTCCTAGGGGGCCTCTCCCGCCTGAAGCCCCACCGGAGGCTTTCATTTGTCTTCACTGTGTTCAGATGTTCCTGTTTCAGTTCTCAGCCCTGCTCGGCCTGGCACAGGCCCGAGGATTACACTCCTGCACAGTCCAGTTAATGATCCTCAGTTCCGCTCCCACAGGGCCCAGGGAGACATAAAGGCAGGAGAGCCGGCTCAGGGGGCGGGGGGACCCCAGCAGGACGGGCACAGCACAGAGCAGGCTGGTGGCAGGGACCCCTGCTGGGAGCGCCGCTGACTGGGCTGGGCTGTGGCTGGGACTCCTTGGGGAGGGGCATGCTTGAAGTTTTCCCAGGGGAATCTCAAGCCTGGGAAGAGCAGGAGGCGTGTGGACAGGGGAGATGGAGCTGGGGAGCACAGGCCATCCGGGGGGCAGGGGGTGATCGTGCAGCGAGGGGGGGGTCTCTGAGAATCCCAGGGGTCCTGGCCTGGAAGATTTGGGGGAAGAACTGGGAGGTGGACTTCATTTTGTCATTAGCAGGTTCTCACCATGGCGACACTTCCTCGTGTGACGCTTAGGTGAAGGGGTGAAGGGCTTATTCTTTTTCTTAAATTTTATTTAATGAATTTTTGGTGGGTTTTTTTGTTTTGTTTTGTTTTTTACTTTTTTTTTCACACCCAATGATGCACAGGGGATACTCCTGGCTCTGCACTCAGGAATTACTCCTGGCGGTGCTCGGGGGACCATATGCGATGCTGGGAGTCAACCCTGGGTTGGCCACGTGCAAGGCAAATGCCATACCTACTGTGCTGTCACTCCAGCCCCGAAGGGCTTATTCTTACATGTGCGGAGGGTGGTGAGCACCTGTTGGGCGTCCTGGGCTGACAGGAATGGTCCCGGCAGGTGAGCGAGGGTCCCACAGCCGAGGTGACTGAGTAGGCGAGGGGCGGGGACATTTGCAGAGCGGCGCCCATGGGGCCTGGACGAGCAGCCCCAGAAGCAGCCTCTCCGCATGCTGATGCTCGTCTGGGCGGGGGTCCCGTTTCAGGGGGCAGCGCCCCCGTTGTGTGGCTCTCCAGGGAGCTCCAAGAAAGCCAGCCACCCACGGGGCAGGTCCCTTCTCGGTGTCGGTGGTGGCTCCCGGCCGCTTCCAGCTGACCATCTGCTCCTGCGGGCCTGCCCTGGCCCTTGCTCTCTGGGAGTCTCGGCTGTGGTGGGGCAGCAGCCCGTGGCCATCCTAGCGGGCACACCCAGGATTGCTATTCGGCGGGGCACTGGCCGGCACTCGCCCAGTGAGCCCTGGTCAGCGGTGCATGTCTCCTATGGGGCTGTGCTGAGAAGGACTGAGCAGGGCCCTCCGAGCTGCTGGTCTCGAGGCAGCGCAGTTTTACAGCAGACCCGGGTTTTGTTCCCAGGAGGTGATCCCTGAGCACAGAGCCAGGAGTAAGCCCCAGCACCGCCGAGTATGACAAAACTCCGCTCCTCCCAGAATAAAACAAACCCCAAAAATGGTGGGCCTGGGTCCCAGCACAGCTGCCCCCAGGGCCAGGCTCCATGGTCTCGTGGTCAGAGCACACGCTCAAGGTTTGTTTGTCGCTGCTTTCTCTCCTCCTCTGGACCTGGAGGTGAGATGCTAAGCTTTGCTGAGCGGGCCCGTACCTAGCACCTCGGTCGTCTTGGTCTGCTGAGCTGTGTCCTGAGCAGAGGGGCCAGTGTTGGTGTTGGTCTGACCTGACTCCTCGAGGGGCATTTGTCCAGGCTCCCATCCTCGCAGAATTGTGCCGGGCCATTACTGTGTGGCATAGCTACATAATGCCCCTTTAGATGGAAGGCCTGGAAGTGGCATTTAAGTCCTGGCTACTCTCCAAAGCTCACTTGGCCGACGTCTGCATGGGAAGGAAGTGCAGGCCAGCGCGGGTTCCGGCCTCTCTAACGATCCCCTCTCTCCACAGAGGAAACCCTGTCCGCCTCAGTTGCCAGCCAGCCCCTTCATCCCAAGGAGAATGTCGTTCCTTTACTCGTGACCAGCAACTCCGACCAGTTCCTGACGACACCGGACGGCGATGAGAAGGACATCAGCCAGGAGAACTCGGAGCTGAAGCACAGATCGTCCAAGAAGGACCTGCTGGAGATCGACAGGTTCACGATCTGTGGGAACCGCATCGACTGAGCTCCGCCAGCGCGGGCTGCGGCCAGGCGCTGCGATGCTCCAGTGGCACTTAAATATTTATTTAAAAACTTAAGTTATTAACGGAGAGCAAATCTAAGTATCTACCTTCCAGGCATGTGGTCTGGCCGAAGGTCAGGTCGGAGAGCGGCGGGACCTGCGCCCGGATGCTGGGCCGGGGGCGCCCTGGCCGCCAAGCGGCAGAGCGAGCGGCTCGGCTTCCCAGGGCTCCGGCCTGCGCCAGACCCTCCGCCCAGTCACTCGAGCTTCCGAACACTGAGCTTTGCCTTGTGGCCTCTTCAGTATAAGGATGTACCTGGAAAACTGTGACGCTTTGCCCGCGACACACGACATCACCGTCCAGCCTCCTTCTGTTCCCATCAGCAGTTTTCAGACTTGACTTCATCTGCCAAAGCATTTAAAAACACAAAAGTAAACTTAAGATAAATGTTCCTTCCACCAGAATGATCTTTGGAGACGTATCTGAATTAATCAGAATTAAAAAGAGAACAGAAACTCCCTTGAAGAAGACATGATGAATAGTAGCATTTTATAGGGGGGGGGGGGGGTGAGGGGTGGGAGATACCCTAAATCCCTAAATCAGTTTGTTTATTTAAAAAATATTAATGAAGGTTGCGCATCTCTAAGAACATATTTCATCGTTTTTAAGTTTACTCCATAAAGCAAAATGTGAGCTGTGTTTTAATTGCAGTAGATAAAATAGAACTCTGATAAAAAAAAAAAAAGGCACTTTTTATACTGAATAAGCAGAGAGCAGTGTTAATTTGAATGTATGGGTAACTGGTTTCCCTTGAAAACTAATCGTTTCATCAGTTGTTACACGTAAAGGGTTTGGGTTGTTGAATGGGCTGAAGAATCGTCCCTGGACAAAACTCAAAGGGATACACTTTGACTCCGGGGTTCTTAAAGCGAACGAACGTCCTAGGTGGGTTGATTGGTCAACGTAGCCTTGCCGGGGGCACATGCATTGCACTCTGCCCTCCCTGCCTCTCCTCAGGGGGATGTCCAGGCGCGCCCGCGCGCTGTGTGTGTGTGTGTGTGTGTGCGTGTGTGTGTGTGTGTGTGTGTGTACACCCCTCCCTGACTCTCCTCAGGATGTCCAGGTGCACCCCTGCTGGGGGGCGGGAGGTATATGTGAATGTGTGGGGGCAGGCAGGGCCGGCTGGAAGAAAACGGGTCTCTGGGGCGGTCTCTGTGGCAAGTGTCTGGGGGAGGGGGCCTTGTTTGATCCTGCCTCCATTTCTGCTTACGCTCTAGTTTGTGGCCCACAGCACAGGGCAAATTATTCACACCACCTTTTTTTTTTTAATTTCTCCAGAAACCTTCCTTTGTTTCCATGAAAACTTTCCAGTGTCCAAAATTCAGAATGTCCAGATGTTGCTGATGAGTGTTTTTCCTTTGATGTTTTCATGTTGAAGTTCAGGCTTTTGTACTGATGTTTCAGGCGTACGATAAGCAGGTGGTGAATTTTAGATGGTTTGTGTATTTCCGGGAGGAGTGTAAAGCGAGCTCCAGTGCTTCGTTCTGTGGTTTCAGACACAAAAGTGAATGTTAATGTTTTATATGAACTGAGGAAGCCTTGGAGATTGATGTCCACTCACATAGGGTGAAAGAGCAGCGTGCAGATATGCATCTGTGCAACTACCAAGTATTTTAAGTTAAAAAAAAAGATTTCTAAATTGCTCAGTGTACGTTTCAGTGAAACCCCATTTTAGAATCACTCTTCTTTTTCCATTCTCTCTTCACTACCAAAAACACCAGTCCACGGTGAGTGGGAATCATTTGAGGCAAACCTTGTCAAACACAGCCCTAATCAGAGCAGACACATGGTTGGGGCTATCTCTCGGTTCCGCTTGAATTATTCTGCTATTGTGCTGTCATTTTCAGAAGAATTTTATTTCCTTTGCAGGATACATTGGGAGTTTGGAATGATGTTCATTTCTTCTGTTACAATGGCATTCAATACTAATTTTATAAGTGCATCTTGTGTGAAACTCAATAAATCCAATTTTGTAATCTTTTTTAAAACGGTCACTCCTTTTATTTTAATAACGTTTATGGTTGTTTCAAAAAGAAATGTTCACCACTGTAGAATAAAAGTTTATTTCTAGTCTAGAAGTGACAGGGCCATCTAATTTAAGTAATTTGGGGGTGGAGGCCAGTGGTGGTAAATGTTTGGTTTTTGATTTAAGGAAAAATGCAGAGTGAACCTTGATCAAAGACCATTCACTGCCCCTTGGCTAGTGCAGACCCTGGCATCTCCAGGCCTTTTTCAGTGCCACACTTTGAGGCTTTTCGTGCCCAAGACTCAAGGCCAAGAAGTGCTCCGCTTTAAGAAGTTAACCTGGGAACAACCTCTGTCAGACGCCCTGTAGCTATTCCTCTGGAATACACCAAGGGTCATCCAAGGGCCTGGCCTCACTTTCTCAAACACTTGGGCCAGCAGAGTGACTTTTGTCCTCAGTGTAACGTGCTCAGACAACCTCCCTGTGCCTGTCCATGGAAGAGACATTAGGATCACATCCCCAGATTTCTTCCTGCCATCCTGTTAATTGCAGAGAAGAAGGAAGACTTTCAGGAAGGGTGGAGAGCAAACAAGTTAGTGAAGTAATGTGCTGGGAAAGGCCACCTGTCATCCCAAGGTGGCAGTGGCGTACCGCTGGGATTGGGATTCTGGGTCTGAGACGCAGTGCTGGGGATCCAACTCACTGCCTCAGGCTTGCAAAACCTCCAAGCTATTATCCCCAGATCCCCACTTTTACATAAAGTCATGCTCGCCTTTTGGGTCTGATTGATTCAGATAAAGGCATAACGCTTTCATAGTGCTGCTGTGGGAGAGAAAAACTTTGCATGGAGTGTTCCCCAAGACTGAGCTGCAGCCCCAGCCTTGATGTGACCATGAGGCTCCGCTCAACAAGGGAGCATTAGTCTGTGGTCACAGGGTGAGACCACATCCCAGTACACTCGCAGAAGCAGAACTTCCTGAGGATGACAGAACCGTGAGCAGAAGGACTATGGGTCCCAATGACCTGCAAACACCTGTGCTCAGTTGTCTGCAAGAGAGAACAAGGGGCGCCCCAGAGGGGGGCTGGTGAGAGCCCTCCCCGCCCCAATGGACCCAGCCCTGGCAGCTGCCCTCCACGCGCCAGGCCACTTCCCACACCCTTGGGCTGGGCCTCACTTATCGTGAACATATTCCTGGACACATCATAAGACACTCCCTACCCATTCTCCATAATTACCACACGATATTTGATGGGGTCAGATAGTAGGCAACAAATCAGAGAGGGAAATATATATATATATGCATATATACATATTTTCAGATACATATATACCAGAGCTCACATCACCAAAGCTTGAACAACACATTAGTGATATCCTATAGACTGTCTTAATGGCTCCTGCCAAAATAGAACAATCTTCACGCTGTTTCCTATATGAACTTTTTTTTTTTTTGTAAGCATGTTCAGCATTTCTTCATAACAGAAAACACAAAATACATTCTTTCGATTGTGTTTTGGGACGGGGATTGGGGCTTGGGACGGAAACATCCTGAATTTGGTGGTGGGAAGGTGTAATGGTGGTGGGATTGGTGTTTGAATATTAAATGTAATCAAATATTGTGAACTAGTATTTAGGAAAAAAGAAGAAAAAAGACCGAGCGCAGCCCTCGCTTCTGTCCCCTGAACTGCGGCCGTTTCAACGATTCACCAGGAAACCCACAGAGGCCCATGGGATGCCTCGACCTAGGCAGTGACATGTTAGGCCTGTTTCTCAGACACGTTTCCAGAAAAAAGAGTTCCGTCGGCTGCTGCTTGTCTGCAGGGGAAAGCCCCCAGTGATTGGGGTCCCCACACGTTCAGAGGCCAGACTCCCAGCCCCGCTGACAGGTGTGAGCCGAACATCAAACATTAAATGAATGGAACATCAAACGTCGTAAGTGGCTAAGTCCTGTTTGTCCATCTCCTTAGACAAACAGTGGCTTGCCCTTATCTCTCAGGAAAGTGCGCATGTGCCCACGGGGAGATAATGAACACACCCCAGCAGCTTGCAGAAATGGAAGCAGGGCATCGAGTTTAAAAAGCAGCCGAAATGCCGTCCTCAGGGACCCGTTTGAAGTCAGTGGAGCTGTGAGGTAATCTTGGCACGTCTCCCCTGAGGTGGGTGGTGACCTGGCACTCCTGCCTGCCTGGAACGCTGGGGGGGGGGGGGGGAGGTTGCCTATGCTGGCCAGGACTGAGGGGCAATGTGTAGTGGAACCATGTACTATCGAAAGGGAATGTTGGTGAGAGGAGAAGCGGCCTTGGGGAGCTTCAGTCTTGAAAGTAGACTCAGCGGACTGCTAGTGCTGGAGTATGCAAGGCACTCTTCCACCCCATGAGAGTGTCCCTGAGGGTCTTCCACACTCAGGGGGGCAAGCCCACAAAAGATGGATTCGGGGGCTGGAGCGATAGCACAGCAGGTAGGGCATTTGCCTTGCATGCGGCCAACCCAGATTCGATTCCCAGCATCCCACATGGTCCCCTGAGCACCGCCAGGAGTAATTCCTGAGTGCAGAGCCAGGAGTGACCCCTGTGCATCTCTGGGTGTAACCCCAAAAGAAAAGAAAAAAAGCAAAACCAAAAAAAGGTAGGCTCTGGCATGCTGTGGTACAGTTGTGGCTGAAGGTGTTTGGTATTTCAAGTATTCAAAGGGTACCTGTGCAGGGTAGCCCTGTAGCACTGTACTGCCCTCCCGTTGTTCATTGATTTGCTCGAGCAGGCACCAGTAACATCTTCATTGTGAGACTTCTTGTTACTGTTTTTGGCATATTGAATGTGCCACAGGGAGCTTGCCAAGCTTTGCCAAGCTTGGCAAGGTGGGATACTCTCGATAGCTTGCTGGGCTCTCCAAGAGGGACAGAGGAATTGAACCGGGGTCTGCCACGTGTACCCTGTGCAGGGTACTTTTTTTTAATTTTTTGCATTTGGGGAGGAGGGCAGGGCTTATGAACTCAGAGATTATTCCTGTTAGCCAGTGCTCGAGGGACCATATGGGGGTGGCCAGGGATGAAATATGGGTCGGCCACATGCAAAGCAAGTGCTCTATCTGCTGTACTATGACTCCAAGGTATTTGGTTTTTAATATATGACTTTTTCTGATAGATGAAGAAGCTAGGGGGCTCTTGAGAGACCACTTGGCACCTCTCTAATTAGGTGAGGAATTAACACATTAGGTCATAGAAGGGTGAGTCTAGTGCAAAATGGGTCTTTTTGACACTGCATAGCCTCACACACATGTATGTTCGAGGGGAGGGCAGAGATAGCTCAAGTTTGGTTCTCCAGATAAGCCCAGTGCTGGGGAAATGCAGACACATCTCACTGGGCTTCATCAGTTGCAGTCACTACCCACCAGAATGGTCCATGAAAAAAATTAACTTGCTCCCTGAAGCCGTGGGGTGGACATGGCTTGCTAAGCTCGGCCATCATGCTGTGCCTGGTGGGGCAGGGGGAGCCCCAAGAGAGCAGTGCTCACACCTTTCCACTCGGTCTGCCTGGGCCGCCTGGGGGAAGGTCAGCATGTCCTGCACGGTCACCCCACGCTGGATCAAACACTGGCAAAACTGCACATTTTTGAAGCCTTTGGTTAGCTTTGCTCCTCCAGGAATATTTGCTAATGAAGGGAAGGTAGAAAAAGCTTCAGGAAAAAGTGGGGGTGGGCAGAGGAAGGCATACCCTTTCCCCCCTAACTCTGGCCCGTTCTTTCCACCATCTCTGACAATGTATGCATATGTCAACATGCGTACATGTGTATGTATATGTCAGTGTGTGCATACATACATCAATATGTTTCCCCAAAAAGCCTCAACAGAGTTTATTTTCTTTACAGCATGCTTCATTTCCTTTACACGTGTGTGCATTTTTTTCCACGTGAACCTTTGAAAATATTTTAATGGCTGCACGTTCCATATGTAGCTGTATCACAATTTGATGAATCACTTTTTTTTTGTTGGGCATTTGATTATTATCATAAACTAGAATTATTTGGACAAGACTCCAAATGCTCATTGTATGTATGTGGTGCCAGGGCTCAAACTTAGGGCAAGACAAGTGTTCTACTACTGAGCTATGCCTCGAACCCCCCATATTATCTTTGCTGTGTGTTATGAGATTGTCTTCAGATGCGGGGGAGGAAGGGGGGGGACACCTGAAATCAAAGTTTGTCTGAGGCCCACACTTGACCGGCCCCGGCTAGAGGCTGGCCTCATCCTTGCCAACCTTACAGCACATTCTAGAAGTGCACCCCTGGTTTTATGGTATGATTAAAGACTATTGGTATATTTATCAGCTTTTTTTTTTAAATTTATGGAGCAGCATTGGTTTATAGTGTTCTATAGACCTCAGGTTACAGTTTCATAATGTCCACTACATTATCCCTCACCACCGCCCATTGGACCCCCTTTATCTGGCTCACCTGCCTCAACCCCCTTTCCCTTGAAACTCCCCAATCAGATAGTTGCCTTTTTAGTGGCATAAAAATTTCTATCTAGGGGCCGGAGAGAGAGCAGTGTGGGTAGAAATCTTGCCTTGCACTCAGCCAATCTGGGTTTAATCCCTCATACCCCACATGGTCTCGCAAACTCTACCAGGAGTGATCCCTGAGCACAGAAACAGGAGCAAGCCCTGAGCACCACCAATTGTGGCCCCCCCAAAAAACAAAATTTGTATTTTTTCTATCATCTCATGCCAGTGAGAATAGTGCGTATAGAAAAGTCTGGAGACAGCCAGTGTTGTCTGTGGTGTGGTAAGAAGGAACCTCATCTGCCGTCACTATGAATGCTATTGGGTACAGTCCCTACAGCAAGCAATATGAAGATTTCTCAAAACAAAAACAAAAAATGAGAGTAGAATTCCTGTATGATCCAGCAATAGCAAGTTTGGCATCTATCCCCAAAACATGAACATATTAATTCAGAAGGATGTATACACACCTCTGATCACAGCTCCGGGGATAACAGCCAAGACATGGAGACCACTCAGATGCCC